TTTGCCTCAGTGTGGCAGGATCAGATCGGGTGCAATTCCCACACTGTGTCTCTGGTGTTGTCCCCGCAGGGCCATGGGTCAGGAGGGGCGTCCTGTCTTAGTGGGCATGCTGAATGTTAAAAGCTGCCATTTCTAACAACAATTCCTCTAGCCTTGACGCTGAGCTCACCAGCTACCCCAGAGGAGACTTTCCTGTCTTGCTGAGCTCTGGCAGTTGGCAAGACATGGTGATGTCTGCTTCCAGAGGGACATTCCACCACGGGCAAAGAGAAGTAAGATGTGGTAGCTTCCATCGAAAGGGCTAGCAACACATTTCTACAACAGACCCCCGAGGAAAAACATGCCGGAGAAAGCCATTTCAACAAATCCCCCAGGAAGCCAGTCCTCCCACTGCCTTGCAATCACCATCTACTGTGAAGAGTCCATCGCTTGCAATTATGTCACTGAATCAGTCACACACCCCCGGCGAAACTCGCTTTTAGATAACCAGCCGCTCACTCTCGATGGTTCTTCAGTCAATAATAATCTTGTAACCTTCAGTGCCTGCTCCACTGTACAAAAATGCTCTTTTCCTCACTGGCTGAAGCGCCATCTTCACTCTAAATTTGGATGTCTTCCAGGTCCAGACATCTCTACCACTCAGTAATCGTTTGTTGCTTTTACTTTAAAAGTAACACTTCTTTGGCTGATGTAGTGATGGACTTTTGTATGGTGTTTTAAAAACATAGGCCACGGTCTTTTGGCACTTAGATGAGGGGGCTTCAAAATGGTCATGGAAAAACTTCATTAACCCACACACATTCTGAAGCCCCTCCACACTTCTGTTCCCTGCTGAGTTTTAGGGTCCCTAGAAAACTATTTCTCAGCAAAGATTTCAGAGTCGGCACCCCCAAGTTGCTTCAATGATTACTATTTCAGTATTTTAACACAAACAGCCGTAGGCAGAACCATTTACATTTCTAATTTATTATTAAATTACATAACAAAGCTTTGTCTATACAGTCAGAAAAATGCACATTAGATGAGAACAAAATTAAGTACAAATACAATAAAATTGGTTCCAGAAGCTATTTTAAAAGCAAAAAATTAGAAAGTGCATTTGGAATAGATTAAAAAAAATCTATATTGGCATTTTCATGAGAGGAAAACTCTCCCATCATGGTAAAGTGTGAGTAGGACAGACCCCCCTCCTCAAAGAGCTAACAGCATGGGAATGGACGCAAACACTCTGATGTTAAAGCGAGATCTTAGGTACGAGAAAACGAGAAAGACCCCTGAAAACCTGGCTCAGCGTCGTCTCAGCTTCTTACCTTAAAAATCACCTGTTCCTCACCCATCAAACCGAAGGGCGTGCAGGCGTGTAAAGGAGCAATCAGATACCATGATGAGAAAGAAGCCCTGCATCTTTCTGGAGACGGGGCTCAGGAACCGCTAACCCAAAGGAGAGAGGGGCACACGGACTTTCTGAATGCAGAGACCACTTGGTTTCTAGTTAAGTTGCCACAGAACTCAGAGTAGCATCAACATGGCCATTTGTCCCCAAATCAAATCTGGTTAATGATCAAACAAGGTATTAGAAAGCACAAGGGCTAATCCAGCTCTTCAAAGTCATTTTTACCAGGTTGAGGTCATTAACAGAGAAACAGAAAATTAACAATGGAATGCAAGCCGAGGAGGCCTCGATTCCCTAGAGGCCAAATCAGTCATTGACCGCTTTGCATCCAAAGGCTCACCAAGCGCATCATTCTCCCATTCAGAAGTGTTCCACATCCAATATGAACTCACTAAATATCATCTGGCTGTAGGGACAAGACGACCCTCGAGGGGGTCTGCTTTGACCACGTCTTACGGTTGGATTCCCATGTCTGACAGGAATTGCAGGCCCCAGGGGAAGGCATCCTCTGTAGCAATGAATTTGGTATAAAGGCGAGAGGCCGTGCGAGCAGGGCAAGCCCGGTTTTAACGTCACAGGAACCAACAGCAATGCTGCGGCCAGGAGTCCTGCGGCATGATCAAGAGTTACAGAGAGCAGGTGGAGACGGCCAGGATGGAGAACTACAGCACCTGACTACTGGGGCTTAAATTTGAGTAACCGTTTCATTAAACACCTTGCTATGGTCATCAGCACACATTCAAACCAAATTTCCAAAGCAAAAAAATAAATAAAAAAGAAACCAAACCAAACCACCTTTCGGAATGTTCTTGTCCTTTTTGTTGCTCTGTTTTTGTTCGTGTGCTTTTTCAGCAAAATGGAAAGTTTTGAGTGAATACAAGGAAGATCCCCAAAGAAAAGATTCGTACTATAAGACAACAGCTGAAGTACAAGAATGCCCTCCAAGAGGCAGCAGTTTCCTCGAGACCAGGAACAGAGGTCCTGCTGACCTCCAGTTCTGACGATTAGCAAGTTACCGACTGTTGGCCCCGGAGCCCAGCAGCTCTTCTGTAAGGAGAACAGCAAAATAAGGGAGGAAAGAAAACCAGTGGCATGGAACAGCGTGCTCACGGTGCCTCTGCAGTCCCTCGGCTGGGGTTTCTTGGTCAGAAGGGAGCCAGGAGAGGGAGGGAAGAGCCTGCTCCTCGCTCTCCCCTTTTGGCCTTGGGTCAGCTGAGTCAGACCTACCTGACGCCAACGTCCACACAAAGCTTTCTCAACTTCGTTGGAAGGACTAGCTTAATTTCATTAAAAAAAAAATAACCAACATAATTCTATTACTTCATATAAACCTAGCCCCAGTGGAGAGGCTCACCGGCCATCACAACTGTCAGCACCGAGGCAGTTAGCGAGGTCAGCTTGCGGCCTAGTTTTACTCCCACACAATCATCGTTAGTGAATGTATCAAGGAATCAGACCAGTAAAAAAGACTGGTAGTATAATTAAATAAATAACTTTATTTATGATATTCCGGACTTTACTGATGCCTACTATACAGCAACCACAGCCTGATAACTAGAAGTCCTAGCTGAGGCATAACCACCCATCAAGGCCCTTTGACAAATCAGAGATTAATAAAGTGTCAGGGGAGAGAAGTTTTGATCTCTCAACTGAGAATTTAATAAATCCACACACTTTTCTCTCTGTCCCTTTAAGGTTCAAATTGTGAAAATTTGACATTCTCTTACGGGCATCCCAATCAACTAACTGATGAACCCATTTTTAGAAAAATAAACCCCCTAATTTAAAAAAATATCTCAAATGCCCTACAGACTCAGAAAGTAACAAAACGTTGACACCAGAACGAACACCCTCTGCAGTCTGTCTTCACACCTGGTGCTCGTTAGCCATCAGCCTGTAAGAGGAGGCGTCACAAAGTCTGTGGAAAAATGATTGAGAAGATAATACATTTTTTGCCCCAATCTTGTTGAAGCCCCCATGTATATCAAGGGCATCTCCAAACCAAGATGTCCTTAAGAACTTCATGCAAATATCCTCTTATTCCCTCTGGCAGTCTGGGGGCTCTAAAGACCAGACTACATCCCATCAGGGAACAGCAACCTTCTTCCTTGGAGAGGTGAGTACATGTTGGATGTCTTCACACACTTGTGACAGGTCACACATTTCCAAAATCTGAGAGAATGTTAAACTTGAGGGGAAAATTCTGGTGGCTGGTTTAAAATGTTGTCACTGTCCAGAGATGGTGCTAGAAGCCAGGTGCAGATGGAGACAGATTCTGCCGTTTGTACCTTTACCAGCGAAACCATTCTCTTCTGGTTGGAAGTTTCAGGTTTGGAATGAACAGGGTTCATAAGACACAGAATTCCTGCTACATCAGGCGGTAGCTCTGAAACTTCTGCTCATAAACGGTGGAGCATATACAAATGAAACTAGCTGGAAGGTGGCCTCTCAAGGTATTGTGAGCTCTGGCTTACGAACAGATGTCGATCAAAACGGAATGCCAGTCTGGACTGGACGAGTCTGGGCACTGGCAGGCATGGGCTCTTGTTTCTGTCACGGTAGGACGGAAAGTTCATTTTCTCCTAGTAGTGAATGCGAATTCCATGGAAGGAACAAAGAAATCAAAGCAGTGACTGATCAAGTACGTCTGACATTCCTGATGTTTTTGGGTGATACAGTTCATTAATCCCAGTGTACTCACAATAAAAAAGAAAAATGCTGTTTTGCAGTGTCTGTCCTTTGTTAAATGACCTGATTCACCACTCTGAAACAGCATCTCAAAGAATCTGCGAAAAATGAAATCTTCCTTGAATACCACAAGAGCTGGGGACAGTAGAAATCTACAGTATAGAGATTATCAAGGTTAACTTGTGATTTCTTGTCATGAGTGTAAAATAAAATGACAAGAGTCATCTTTATTCATAACCCGATTTGGTGGCCAAAAGAGCCTTTGGATATAGCGTGCCATCTGGCTTCATCGTTATCACGAAGCACAGAAAAGGTTTCTTTCTGATTGGTTTACTTATAGCCTGGGGATACAAAAGGAAATGAAAATAGATCTTTTAAAATGGAAAATCGGCCGATGTATGTTAGAAAAGCTAGCACAGGAAAACTGTGGCACAGGAAAACTGTGGCTTCAGCTCCACCTGCCCACGTTCCCGAGCCCATCCCAGGGTGGAATCCACCCTGCCGCAACAGGACAGCCAACTTCTCCATCTTCACCATGTGAAAGCGGCGGTTGCTGAGAGTCCTGGAGATGTCCCATCAATGGAAAGCATACAGTAGCAATAGTATGGTGCAGATACCAATGACACCTCCCAGGATGAGGGAGTCTCGCCGCTTCCTGAGGTTGATCCGCTGGATCAGGCTGTTCACAGCAGGAAAACGATCTTTGGGAAATCTCTATTAAGGTCATGTTTGGAATAAGTCTCTTTGGGGAGAAATCACATAACCAGAATTCAGTGGAGTCCCGAAACAGTAAGTGATGAGAAGAAATAGAGGAAGACAATCACACTGCATCAGTCATCAACAGAGAGACACCTGGTTTGCCCTACTGCTCATCACCACCAACCAATTCAAGTTTGCTGCCTTGTGCGTGGTACACAAATAAAAAGAGATATAAAGAAAAATGTAACACAAAAGGAGTAGAAAATAATGACAGCTAACATGTGTCAACTGCTTGCTACTAGGTTTCGGTGGGCAGCAGTGTACGTGACCAGGGCCCGAGGCAGCAGCCATTAGCACCCCACCTGTACCCCATTTCTGGCCCTTCGTCCAGGAGACAGGGAGTCAGGCCTGAAGGGTTCTGAAGCCCCGGACCCTCTCCTCACAGGGAGACTTGTGTGGATTCAGGCAATTGGTGGGAACCAACCCTAGAGTCTATATAATTGGCCACTGCTGAATGATTTGAAATATTTATTTTGCTTTGAGGTCATTAGGCAGAACATGAAGGGAAAGGGGGTTAAAGGAACATGAAACAAAAAGCACAGAAACACACAAACAGAACATGAAAGAGGAGGGAGGAATAGGGAAGTTTTAGTTGTTGGGGTTTTATATCAGTCACAACTGTATTTTCACGTAGTAATTTGCAGTATCTAGTCTTATTTGCTTGCATGTTAAAGCCTGTTCTCTCTCTCTGACTCTGAACTTCTAGTATCAGTTTCTGGCAACACACCTGCTGCAGGTATGTACTTTTTGTCGAGAGGCAGTATGCCAAGGTCAGGAAAACCAATTGAAAAAAACAAAACACTCAGGATATACTGGAGTAATCCTTACTCGCTATGAATCCTACTAACATTTTCCTGAAACAACATTATACCATGAGTGTATTATTTGTGTGCTTATACATTCTATATATTGTATAATTACAACCATGCCTTCTACTAATCTTGAATTTCCCTGTGTCTAGAATAGAGTCTTACACACTATAGGCATTAATGCATTTCTTGAATAAGCTAATTAATAAAGAGCTAAACAGAACCATCCACAGAAACCATTTTTTAAAATGCAGAAAAATAGGGGCCATATGTAGGTTGCATTGTGCTAGGCTCTACGACACTGCTCTGCCTCCAAGAATTTCGGGTTTGGCAGGGGAGACTGACTTGACCCTACAAAAACACCCGGACACCCAACAAAAACGCCTGGCCTCCCTGCCGCTGAGCCCATGCCAACTCACAGCAGCACCCCAGGACACGGGAGACCCGCTGTTTACAGGCGTAGGAAGCCTCACCTACGACACCAGAGCTCCTTGACTTGACCACAGACACACGATAGAATTCCAAGTGACCTGGTAGAAATATGAGCGGAGCAGAGACCACAAAGAGGAGTGGTAACAAATTCAAATTAACAAGTGGAAATGACTTTACTTGGTGTTTTAAATAACCTAGCCACCTATTTCTCCCCTCCATTTCCAGTTTTAGCTACATACAAGTTTGCTTCCCTACTAAGTAGTGTCTAAGGAGCAGTGGTGCCACAATAGCGGAGCGCTCAAAGCGCAGCGGCTCCCACCCAGCCTCGCTCTGGGAGAGAAATGCGGCAGTCTGCTTCTGGAAATGGTAGAGCCTCAGGAACCCTCTGGGGCAGTTCTACCTGGCTTGTACGGTGACGTTAAGTCAAAGTAGACTTGATGGCACACAACAAGTCGTTTTTGCTCTAGCTTGTAACCAACTTCATACAAAGACAGCAACAGACTTAAACAATGCATCTCTGAAAGCCAGTTTGCTGAGCCCAAGTCTTCAATTTGTATAATAATTTCTGCATCCCTTCCCTTCTGGCAGTGATAAAATTTGATAATGTACATAAAAGTAGGCTTAGTAGTTCTATATAAAAGAATTATGACCTTTATGTGTGGTTTTATATTTAGGATGATATAGCAAGAACAAAATTCACAGCAATCTGGCAAATACCAAAAATTTCAGGACATTCACTCCTTAGGCAAATAGGGCATGAAACTAAATCACCACCACCACTGCCATCAAGTTGACGCCAACTCAAAGTGGCCCTCCCTGTCCAGGACACAACAGCCCCCGTGAGTTCCCGCGTCTGCAACTCTGTAGGGAAGTAGAGAGCCCCGTCTTTCCGCTTTCAAACAAAAGTGACTTAAAATTATATGACACCAAAGATACTTAGCTTTTGAAAATTATAGGTCCTTTCCCTTTAAGTAGCTAGGGAAGGTAGCCTTTTCTCCCTTAAGAGCCTTGGCAACTTCTCAGGGAACAAAGAGAAGTATTTTAGTCTAATTTAAATGGGGAGCCTGAGGAATCAGAACAGTGGGGCCATAGCAATCGAGCAGGGAATGTATCTGAGAAGCTGGTGCAGAGCAAGTCACACAGAAACGCTCTCGGCTGTCACTATAGCTCTTCTACTTATGCTCCTTCCTTCCCCCTTCCAAGCACCTGCTACGGATCAGTGACTAAGGTGAAAAAATACACATGAGAGGGCACAGAAGTTAGGATGTTTAAATAAAAATAACCCATACCATGGAGTTCTAAGATGGATCCAAGAGTTTTCAGACTGTACAGTACTTTCAGAATAATCTTAAAATTCCTATTTACAGTTTTCCTAAATCTACCACTCTGTAACACATCTCTGGTGTGCCAACTCTGACAAAAGGTTTGAAACAACATGAACATCCACAAAGTAGGAGCAGAGGGTAGCTTCATCGTATGTGGTTACTGGTGGCGCCTGCTGAAAAAAAAGCACACAGATTTTTCTCCTCCCACCCAAAGACCCTCGGCTCTCCAACTTTCAGAAAGGATACTGGCCAGAGTGTTCATTTTACTCTGAATGGACTTTAACATTCCTCGCTGAGAAGTCATGTTTTCTTTTGTTGCCATGGCAATGCTGCAAGGAAGGAAAACAGAAAATGAATGGGATGGCATTTAGAATTATCCTGTATGGCTCTATAATGTCAATACATGTGAACAGACAACTTAGGTGAGCAACATAAAAATGCAAAAAAAAAAAAATCACTTCCCAAGACACTGGTCCATTCTCTTTTTTGGTTAATCCTCTAAGACCCACTCCATCCGACTGCTGGTGCTTTAGTGTAAATTTAGTGTATAATTTTTACCAGGTCTTTCTGTTTGTTTTCCAAACAACACATTAACAGACAAAGCTTAATGTGGCTTTAAAAGGGATGAGCTACTAAAATATCCTTAGTCAGGAAAGACAACTGAGAGAGAAGTAGGAAATTACACTCATAAAAAGAGAACCACACGTCTAACAGCCCTCCATTCATGAAGAGACTACACTATATTGTCAAACTTCTATTGGGAACCAGTTAGGCAGATTTTGGGGCACACACGCTGGGCCTCCAAGGCAGCTTACCAAGGTCACAGGTGCATTAGACATGGCAGAGAGAAGGGCATAAAGCCATTCTTTGCTGAGGACAATCTCTTACATGTGACTGTGCTGCTGTTCACTTAGAAGAATCTGAATTAATCTCCTTTACTGATCATGTCTGAAAAAACCTACTTTTCCATAGGGTCATCTGGGCATCAAAAAGCCAATAGGCAAGCCAGTGACCACTGGATAGGTAATACACAGGGCATACTTTAGAAAAACAAAACAAAAACCAAAGGCCAGTGAGATGAAGTACTCCTGGAAGGATGCGGTGGCCAGGCACAGATTCCTGACTTCATCTCTGGCGTATTTCCCTCCAGAGAGTAAACGCTGGGAGTGTCTGTCGGAAGCTCCGAGTGTTCGTGAGACCCGCAGGGAAGAAAGCCAGGTTGAGTGCTATGCTCTTAAAGCGATCACACAGGCAGGGAACTGAGGGCAGGGAAGACTACATTCGTTCCCACCTGCTTTCACTACTTCCTAAGGAGCCCAAACGATGGGAGACCGTATGCATCGTCTGGAGAGAACCATCCCCGGAACCGTCCTCAGCTCCTACAGCTGGAATGGACAACTACAATTTGCTGTCTCTACTGAAGCAGCTTGCGCAGCCCCCCTACCGCGAGGCCCGGCAAGCAACAAGACTGCGATTCATCCTTCAATGTGAGTGCAGGGCAGGGCAGGGCCATCACACACTTGAGAACCTGTAACAACCACGGCAGAGGCCCAAACAAACAGAGCATCTAAGGGACCAGGGGCAATGTCGGAAGCTAACCTCAAGCAGCACTTCATGTCTTCAAGAGACAAAGATAGCAGCACCTCCAGGAAATGTGTGCACTGTACGTTGGTGCACGCGCATGCACACCTTCCACTCACCTACACCCCTTAAGAAAGAGCTCATACTAAAAAAAAAATGTTTTTATGGTAGAAATAAAAATTAACAGAAGAGTCCAAATTGGGAACCTACACAACACTCGGCAAAGATATTTGGCAATGACATAGCTGACAAGAGACTCATCTCTAAAATGTATAGAAAACGTCAACACTCCAACAACAAAAAGACAAGCCAATTAAAAAATTGGGGTAAGGACATGAACAGACACTTCCTCAAAGAAGACATTGTACAGCCACCTCACCCATGAAGAGATGCTCATGATCATTAGCCATTAGAGTTCCAAACAAAACAGCAATGAGATGTCATATCGCCTCAGCAATAACAGAAACAAAGTTTAATGAGAGACAATTAAAAATGCCGGCGAGGGTATGGAGTGATTGGAATGCTCATCTACTGCTGGTGGACTGGTACACAGTATGGTGCTTCCTTAAAAAGTTGGAAATAGAAATAACATTTGATCCGGAAATTGTACTACTTCTTGTATCCTAAGAAATAAGAGTTAGGACATGAAGAGATATACGTACACCCACGTTCATTGTAGCATGATTCACAAAAGCAAAGATATGGGGACAACCTACGTGTTTATCAACAGACGACTGGATAAACAAATGATGGAACATACACACAATGGAAGACTACATGATATTTGTGAACCCCCTCATCACATCAATGAGCAGTCACATAGGAGAGGGATGCGCTCCTCAGAACAAGCCAACATATGGCCAAAGGGGCAGTATTTGCTCAAGGATACACTTCAAATGGCAGGAAGACACCAGAAATGGGAAACACAGGAAGGAAGTGGAAAGAGTCCTGTTACATTACGGGAACTGCAATCAATGCCACAAAACAAAACGTGTATGCATCTTGAATGGAAAGTCAAATTGCTCTGTAAACTTTCACTCAAATAACAAATTTTATAAAGGGGTTTAAAACTAAAATGGGCGGGAAGGGATGATCCCAAATGGTTCCAGAGAGAAAAAGCAAGGGATCAGAAATTTTAATTGGCATTGGACTTAAAAAAGCAACACTGGATTTAAAATTGTTACAGTGATTTCCAACATAGACTACTATATCTAGCTAAATGTTGAATCAAGACTATGGATAACGACATCTTAGACATGGAAAACTCCAAAAACTGACCTCCTGTTCTTTTCTTGGAACGCTAGTAATGGACATGGGCCACCAAAACAAGGGAATAAAGTAAGGAAGCTGAGAAAATGAACCTAAAAGACAGTAATCCAGTATAGGAGATCACTGCAGAAGAATGGTGCTAGGACAGCACAGGACCAGAACAGGGAGCAGGCCTAGTGACAACCCATCGGGATTAGTTGAGATGACAGCAGAAGGAGTCTAGAGGTAAATAAAGACAATTAATATAGATTGTATAATTTATCTGACCACACTGAGGAGAGTTGGGGATATGTTAGTGACAGGTACATAAGTAAAACAAGCAGCTATTATTAATTCCAGGGAATGGGAGGAGGGGTGAAACTTGAACATGTTAGGAAACCTCACCACAGATTGCATCCTCTGTAGCTTTAAAGATCCACTGCCATCTAGTTGATAAATAGGGTTTCCAAGGCTATAAATCTTTATGGGGCAGATAGACTTATGTTTTTCCTGAGAAGAGGCTGGTGGGTTTGAACACCTGACCATGTAGTTAACAGTCGAATGCTTATAGACAGTGCCACCAGGGTTCCTTCTATGGAGCGTCTCACTCACTGCCATCAACAAGTAAAAGACAAGTGTAGCAGATGGTGGTAGGTACTACGAAGAAAAACAGCAGTTCATGAGAGAGAGGATACTGGGATGGTGAAGGCGCTGCATTTTTTAAACATAGGGTCAGGAAAAGCGTCCCTTCAAAATGTGGTATCTGAACAAAGGAATGAAGACAGTAAGTGATTCAGACAGAGACAGCAACAAGATTCCAGATTACCTAATACCAGCCAGACACTGTACTAGACAGCTTATTTACATTGGCTTTGATCTGACTAACACGCTTGCACTCTTACCATCCAGCCTATACTTTTAAACAGACTTTAAAAATGAAGGCTCTAAGAAGTTCAAGTCACTTATCCAAGGACAGATCAAGTAGAGAACACAGTCAGGTTTCAAAACTGGAGATGGGAGAAGCAAAAAGATTCTGGATGTGATTTGAAGGAGATTCAACAGAAAGCACTCTGATGGATTGGACGTGGCGTGCAAGAGTCAAGGAAATGTAACTGGATGTAAGCTCCCTGACAGCCAGGTCTTTGTTAAACCCCCGGCTTCTGGTACACAGGGGACACTGGGTAAATATTAGTTGAATAAATTAAAGTTTGGCTCTGGTAAAGAGAACCAAGAGTTGGGAAGGAGAAACATAGGGCTAACCTGCACATATTTGTTGTTCTAAGGGCATACTATATTGCTAAAACAAAAATTAAGTGGGGAAAAAAAAGAAAAAGCAAAGTTTACTCAGGAAACCTGAAGTTACACAGTAATGTCACCTTCACAATACATTGGATTTTAGATGTACAAAATACAAAGAGCACTTTGTGTCATTAGTTTATATTTATATATTTTTCGGTTTAAGTACATATCTCTGATAAACTATGATGCATTTAAAATATTATTGGCTTAAAAATAAATTCATTTTCCAATCAACTAACCAACCCGGTGCCAAGGAGTCGGTTCTAACAACCCTTTTAGAGGGTCTCCAAGATTGTCAAACTTTATAGAAGCAGATAGTCTCATCTTTCTCCCTTGGACCGGCTGGTGGGTTTGAACTGCCAACCTTGCAGTTAGCAGTCCAATGCTTAACTTGCAAGGCATTTAAAAATGGGTATGCTGGTTTAATATAAAGTAACCCAAACCAAACCTAGACTGAGAAGTCCGAGGCCAACCTCTGAGTCATATATGCTTCTGTTTTTTAAATTGGGGCTATCACCATCTCCTGTACACTCTACTCATAAGTAGATAAAGAAGATTAAAAAATAATTTCTGCAAAGCACTTTGTATTCCTTGGAGAATGGATACTATCATCATACATTATGTTGTTAGCTTGTTGAATATGCATGATTTCCAGTACCACATAAAGTATATCTAGACATACTCTCCCATCTCACTCCATCATTTGGAGTCAAGCTGAATCAAACGAGGCTGTTGTTATTTCAAGGGTCAAATACTCAGAGGCAAATGTAAGTTCCAAATAATATATAGTGCTTTTAAATGATAAATCATTGACGTGCTTACTGGAACTTCAACCTCTGTACCTAGTCTATGAACTACACTCAATCAATTATTTTTTTAAACAACAGATAATACTAATAACACGTTTAGAATTTGGGAATTAATTTATAAAAACCAAAAATATTATTTTCAATAAGTCAAAGCCACAGTCTAAATTCAGCTATGTACGCACTTTTAAAATGCAGATTCAGAAGCATAATTTTTCACGCATGGACTAAGTAAAACGAATTATTACTTGAGTCTCAAATTTCATATTTAGTTACGAAAGTAATCATACTTTATATTCAATGAAAGGTCAGTTGAAACCAAGAAAAATATTGAAACGACCTTCAAATTGTTTTTTGTTTAAGTAGCAAAACCACAGTGGTAATTCAAAGGCCTCGAATTTTCCTATCCTATGATGGGACAACTGTTATGCTCAGTATTACACAGAACAAAACAAAAATTAACCCCTTGCTATTGAGCTGATTCCAACTCTCAGCCACCCTATAGGACAGAGTAGGGCTGCCCCAACCATACAAATCTTGAAGCCGTAGGGTTCCCAGACTGGGATCTTTACGGGAACAGAGTGCCACCGCTCTCCCATGGAGCAGCTGGTGGGTTCAAACTGCCAACCCTGTAGTTAACGAAGGGTTTTCACTGGATCACCAGGGTGCCTTACGCTTAAACAGGCCAGACCTGAACTAAAAAGCTTCATGAAGACAGCCTGGTTCTCGAGGATCAGACAGAATGGAGAGGGAAGTAAAAGGAAGAGAGGAAAAGAGTTTTAAGTAAAGAATCCCTGGCAACATGTGATCAGGACTGATGAGCTGATGAAAGGGAAGCAAATTACATGGGAGCTATTTCAGCCAACAATTGGGCAATTCTGGGAAACCTCTGTTCAGATGGACAACCCAGTACATGCAAGTAACCACAAATTCCAATATGTGATAGCTACATATGATCACAGAAGAATATACCCAATGAAGATGGCCGTTTTAAAATGACAGGAATATATTATAAACAAAATAAGAATGTGTGAGTCCTTATGGACATAAACAAGTATTCAGAAATTAATCACTGGCATATTTAGAGGTAAAAGGGCGTATGCCTGCAACTTATTTTGAAATAGTTCAGAAAGAGAATTGTGAAAAAAATAACGTGGCATAATGTTAGTACTTGGAGAATCTGGGTAAAGGGTGTATGAGAATTTTTTTGTGCTATTCTGTGTAATGTTTTCTGAGGTCTGAAATCATTTTAAAATAGTGAACAATAGTCTTACTTTAATCCTCATGCAATCTTACACCATTCCTATGTTTCCTATGAAAGCTCCAAAGGTAAGAGTGCATTTACCCCACAACAGAGTCTCAAACCACACAGCTGGTAGGATGGTTTACAAGGTGGTGCAATGCTCGTGGTTTCACTAGAGCTCTGCTTCTAGATCAGCCTTGGTTTAAGCACCAGAATCATCAATTCTCTTCATCAGTGGGGTCACCTTGGCAAGTTATTTATGTTAAATTTCTTTTCTGATGAGGGCCTGTCTCCTAGATCACTGAGAAGATGAAAAACAATACTACATGTAAAGCACTTTAGCACTGAGGCCCAGATGAGAACATCAGAGTTTCCTGCTTACTACACTGCTTCCACACACTTCACTCTGCCTTTCATGAAAACCCACATTACACACGGATGACACTTTACAGCGCAGCTCAAATTTTTACTATCATAAAATATTTAACAACGTATCAGAGAATTAAGCCGTTCAAACCAATAAATGAATGTTTCTTACTTAAGCAAGAAAATAAACTACTTAACCACGATTACAAGGAATTCTAAAGGTAACTCTAGTCGATTTTGTGCAGCTGCTGCGCCAGAAACCGTCTATAAAAATGATGATACCAAGTCACACACTTAAAAGAGTTTTCCATTAAAAAGTGTGACTAAAGAAAGAAGTTGAGGTTGAAAATATTGAGTTCACTGGAAATTGACTTTAACCCTAATTAGTTCACGATCTTTATGTTCAAATAAAGTTAAAAAAAAAATCCTACCTTATTGTCTCTTCTATCAGACGATCTGAGCTATAAAAAAAACAATTCAAATCCTGAAGTTATTATACATATTTAAAAACTTGTATTTAATTGTTCTGCATATATAGACCCAAGATTTTAAACTTTTTATAGTCCTTTATGTACACAGAAGACAGACTTTCAAAAAAATCTAGAAAACACAATTTATTCATATATCATTTTTGTCTAAAATGTTACTTGCTCGGTATCCACTCCCCCCACCACCCGAGGTACTTGATTAAAATAAGAGCAGTTTTAAAAACACAAAGAATTCAAACCTTTACTTTCACTTAAATCACTCAGAGTTGTCCCTATCATCTATTCAAGATCTAAAAATTACAACTAGCTTGTTGGGACAGGACCCTGAATACAGTCCAGATGTCTGAAAAAATGAAATTCATAGCGCCCCTACAGGACAGAGTAGATATACCCTGTAGGGTTTCCTAGGCTGTACCTCTCTGACGAAGAAGTTCACCCCATCTTTCTCCTGTGAAGTGGGTTCGAACCGTCAACCTTTAAGTTAGCAGTGCAATGCTTAATCCACTTTGCCACCAGGACTCCTCTGATGCCTAAAAACAATTATTTACTTTCAAGGCTCCTATTCACAGCTTTCTGTAAAGCTAAACCAAATCTCTGCTTAACACATTTAAAAATCCAAGAACCTGCTGAATGGACCTTAGATCTGTGAAAGTACACTGGGCCTTTACATAATATAACGCTCAGGGTAGATATTCTTTACTAGTAAAGCTAAACTACTAGTAGTTTGACTTTAAGATGACTTCAGGGGCACCAATAAGCAGCATCATGAAGTTGGAGGGAAAAAATGGAAGACTTCAGGGGCTATTTTTGGTTTGAGGCTTAAAGATTATCTCAAGTTGCAGGTGTCCATCAAGCTTCCATGGTTCTAGAAAGCATTAAGATTCTTAGAAAATTCTATTCTACAGCTCCCCACCCCTTTAGGACCAGAATTCTTCTATAGAAGATTTGATTTAAAATGTTGAGTATTGGTGGCCGGGCATCATCCAGTTCTGGTGTCTTGGCAACAGGGGCAATTTTTCATGGAGCCACACATTCTAGTTCCTCATCTTATTCCTGTCTTTGCATCTTCCTCTGCAATTGTACCGTGGATGGATACTTGGAAGATGAAGGTACTATGCAGTGGATTAGGAGGTAGAACAAAAGCATTAAATACTTTACTAGGTCAGTTACGTGAGATGGTCCATGAAACCATAACCCTAAACTGGTTGTACCTAAACAGCCTTAGTATTTTTTTCTTCTGCTGTTGTTCTGAATACAAGCAGGTACATTGTTGTGGTGGCAAAACCAGTCCCCCGTCGGCCACAAATCAGGCCTTTTGTTACACAGTTACACAATCTTTTCAGAACCCCTTCATATATATCATGCAACTTTTGTCAAATTAGGCTTTTTACAGTTGTACAATTTAATGACGGCAAAGATATTCATCAGTTGTAAAACTCTACCCTTATCAACAAAATTTCCCCAAGGAAACCCATTGTTCCATAAGGAATCTCACTGCCAATTAGTTGATTCTGCTCACAATGACCATAGAGGAGAGAAAGTAGAAACCTTTGGGTTTCTTTATGGGAACAGAAAGCCTCATTGTTCTCCCTTGGAGCAGCTGCTTATTTTGAACTGCTGACCTAGAGATTAGCAGTCCAATGTGAAGCCTACGCCAGGGCTTCCCAGAAGCAATAATCCCTTCGAATATCTATTATGATATACAAGTCTTATGCAATTAGACAATCCAATTAAAACATGGACAAAAGGATATAGAAATATTAAGGAATCTGAACATCTAAAACAGTTTGGGGGGAGCAGAGAAAAAGAACTGAAAAGAACTAGTTTATCCAATTTCACACCTTATCACTTAGCTACAGCAATGAGACTGTGTGGCCCTGGCAAAGGAGAAGATAGCACAGATCCATGGAACACACTGAGAACCAGCAATCGATTCACACAAACACACGGCCACGTGAGTCTGGACAAAGGTGCACGAGCAATTGGATGGTGCTAGAATTGACGCACATACGTTTAAAACTACCTCGTTTTATGTTTCATACCTCAAATAAAAAATTAATTCAAAGTGGATCATAGACTTAAATGTAAAAGTAGAAAACATTTCTTGTCTTTCAAATGCAAATATTTATTTATTTACATTTTAAAAAGCATTTTTATTGGGGGCTCATACAACTCTTATCACATCCATACATACATCCATTGTGTCAAGCACATTTGTACATTCATTGCCCTCATCATTCTCAAAACATTTGCTCTCCACTTTTAGCCCTGGTATCAGCTTCTCATTTTTGCCCCTCCCTCTCCCACCCTCCCTCCCTCATGAACCCTTGATAACTTATAAATTATTTTTTCATGTCTTACACTGACTAATGTTGCCCTTCACCCACTTTTCTGTTGTCCATCCCCCTGGGAGGGGGTTATAGGTAGATGGTTGTGATCAGTCCCCCTTCCCCTCCTGGTATCGCTACTCTCATTATTGGTCCTGAGGGGTTTATCTGCCCTGGATTCCCTGTATTTCCAGCTCTTCTCTGTACCCCTGTACATGCTCTGGTCTAGCCAGATTTGTAAGGTAGAATTGGGGTCGTGATAGTGGGTGGTGAGGAAGCATTAAAGAACTAGAGGAAAGTTGTATATTTCATCGGTGCTATACTGCACCCTGACTGGCTTGTATCCTCCCTGCAACCCTGTAAGGGGATGTCCAGTTGTCTACAGATGGGCTTTAGGTCAAAAGTAGAAAACTTTATGAAGACTTCTCAAAAATCCTAAAAGTTGATACTCGAATTAGAACATGGGTAAAAGAGACAGAGGTATTTTACCAGAGGATATAACCCCTAACAAGGAAACCCACTGCTGCCGATGGGCTTCTAACTCAGAGCGATACGAGAACTGCCCTATAGGGTTTCCAGGGCTGTCATCTTTATGGAAGCATCTATCTGTCTTCTGTGGATTTCTGAGACAGAAAATCTTTACGGAAATAGAAAGCCTCATCCTTCTCCCGTGGAATGGCTCGTGGTTTTGAACTGCTGCCCTTGCAGTTAGCAGTCCAATGTGTAACCCATGCCCTACCAGGGCTCCTTGTTGCTCAAGAAGTGGGGTTGAAACTACTACTAGAAACAACTAGATAGAACCCCTGTTTTATGCAGGGTACTTTCCTTAAAGGTTTGCTTTCTGAAAATGATATTTTAGGTAATTTAATCATTTTAAATATAAAATCATTTTCTATATATGAGAGTATTTTAAAAAGTTCATGGAAAATTTCCATTGTATTTTAATTCTATTTTTCCACAAAGCCCTTTCTTATAGAAACCAAGTTAAAAATCTTATACAGCAAACATTCATGCCTCCATTTATTTTTAATAATTTGCATAAAATTAAATTTTCTTATAGTAGGTTTTTCAGAAGGGATACTTTTTTATTAAAAGGGATATACTATCATTAAAATAGTCATTGTATTTGATTGAGAATTTATCCTCATATTATAATTCTAGTGCATCTGAACTACAAACAAAAACAAAAACCAAAAAACCAGAATTGGATTCACCTGAATAGGAAACCAACCTAATAATCTTAAAAAAGGAAACTTCTCTGTGACCAGAAGAACTAGATGGTGCTTGGTTATTACTACCAGCCCCCTGAAAGGGATCAGACTAGAAGATCTTTTTGGTCGAGTGGGAGGGAAATGTGGGCAACAGTCAAAATCAGAGACTGGTTGAGCCTTCAGGGCAATGGCTCTTCCTCGCCCTTCAGTCCTGGGGCTGAGCTCACCTCCATGACTCAGTGCTCAGCAAACAGTTTCTAGCAGAACAATAAAGCTGGGAGGTAGGGACTCCTTAGCATAATCAATCACTTGAGATCAGAGGGGCAGCATTTACCCAAGGGCAGAGGGTTAGGAAAGGAGGAGGAATGGAAACAGGGAATATGAGAGGAAGTTGGATAAATGATACTATATTCAGGGGATTGTAATGAATAACATGAACTAAAATGAACTACTGAATGGAAAACCAATCTGCTCTGTATACTTTCATGCAATTCAAAACATTTTTAAAGTTTTAAAACTTAAAAAAAAACAAAACCCAAAACTAAAACTGTAATCCCAAATATCCTACTCTCCTTATAAGGTCCTTATAAGTGACCTTATGCATTAGCCATCTTTCGTTTATTGCAAGTGCTAAGCCTTACAGTACTTCTTTCAAAATATAACTTTGGAATCATACTCCACTTATTTATCTTCATTTTAATCAGACACTAGCTTAACCATGCATTTGTACCTTAGAGAGTTAGAGTAAGTTAAACACCATAGGGGAACATTTTTTTAAATCGTTTTATTAGTGGCTCATACAACTCTTATCACAATCCATACATACATCAATTGTATAAAGCACATCTGTACATTCACTGCCCTCATTCTCAAAACATCCGCTCTCCACCAAGCCCCTAGCATCAGCTAATTTTTCCCCTTCCTCCCCACTCCCCCCCTCCATGAACCCTTGATAATTTACAAATTATTATCTTGTCATATCTTGCACTGTCCGACGTCTCCCTTCACCCACTTTTCTGCTGTCCGTCCTCCAGGGAGGAGGTTATATGTAGACCCTTATCATCGGGTCCCCTTTCCAACCCCCCCCCCCCCCCAGTATGGCCACTTACACCACTGGTGCTGAAGGGATCATCTGCCCTGAATACTAGGGGAAGGTATTCTATCAAATTTCCCTCTACCATCTTTAGTCCCTATAATGATATTGAACAGTGGTTCTCAACCTGTGGGTATGACCCCTTTGGGGGGGGTGGGTTTGAACAACCGTTTCACAAGGGTCATCTGATTCATAACAATAGCAAAATTACAGTTATGAAATAGCAACAAAAATAACTTTATGGTGTGGGGGGGGGTCACCACCACAAGAGGAACTGTATTAAAGGGTCGCAGCATTAGGAAGGTTGAGAACCACTGGTATAAATAGAAAGCTAGTGTTTTG